AGAAATTTCAAGTTATTTTGTGATATTCCAGTATGTTACTTTTCATTCTGCCTGAACCCTTTGGTACAAATTCCCGTGAATAGCTGGGAAAGGAATGAGGCCTTCAGTCAAGCAGTTAGGAAGTGAGGTGGTGCCTTGTGTGAATGCCCTGCTGGGTGGTAAATCCATGACATGGCTCAGGCGCTGTTTATGCATTTTAAATTGCTTTCTTTATAACTCCAGTCCAGAGAAAATATCATCTCTGAGCCAAGCTGGGGCACAGCACTCCATCCCAATGAAGTGGAATTTGAGAAACAGGCATCAAACCATTGAACTTGGCTTCTACTGCTATGTAGAAACATATCCCACAATAAGCTCCTTCCACATATTATACTTACCAAAACCATGACGTTACATAAAGAGCATGAACAAATGTTATTTCCAAACCCACTTAAGTTGCTTAAGCTGTGGAGTTCCTGGTCCTAATTTTAGTAGTAGTATCAATAGCTGATGGAAATACTGCTGTGCCTTGCAGATATGAAATACCATAGAAATACCTTGACCACTTTCTCTTGGGATGACATTGGATTCTCCTAATAATGGAGTACAAACTCTCTGGATTCATTTACTTTAAAAAAAAAAAAAAACACTCTTGTATATCTGCAAAAGTGAGCAGTGCTTTCCACTCTTCCCTCTTGGGTCAATGATAAAATATACAGGAAACACATGATTCCTGTCTGCCAAATATGGTTGGAAGTATAACGTTATCCTTTAACATAACATTTATGAAGCAATTTGTTTTAACAGTGGGAGTGATGTGATGGTTTTTAGATGGTAAACTGTGCTGTTTGAAAATGCACACAGTTTAGGAGCTGACAGGTTCAGTCCTCAAGTACATGAGGTGCAATGCGACGCTTTGGCACTGGTTAAATATTCAATCATTCCACTGCCCTGTTTGTGGGAAATATACTAAAAGCTTATTGCTATAGCCTTTGAACTTGCAGGGCAAGTGAAGCCCATAATTCCACAGCCCTGATGCCAGTGGGTCTGACTGCATTTGATAAATGCCAATAACCTTGGTTTTAATATTTCCATTGATCTGGAGGGTATTAACAAGGGTTTTTGTTTTTGTTCTTTTTAATCACAAAGAGAACCCTACAGAATCAAATCTTACTCTAAAATTCCATTCAGTTTACTATCTTACAAACACCTAGTCTCTTTGATATGGAAATGCCTCCTGACTTCATATTGACAGCGCATATTTTAGTTCCATCATCATCCAACAAATTAAACTGAGGCTTTAAACATAGTATGTTTCTGGGACTTCCCTAGTGGCTTGGTGGTAAAGAATCTGCCTGCCAGTGCAGGAGACATAGGTTTTATCCCTGCTCCAGGATCCCACATGCCAGGGAAAAACTAAGCCTGTGAGCCACAACTACTGAACCTGAGCGCCTAGAGCCTGTGCTTTGCAGCGAGAGGAGCCACTGCAATGAGACGCCCAATCTAGACACTGAAACTAGAAAGTAGTCCCCACTCGCCACAGCTAGAGAAAAGTCTACTCAGCAACCCAAGACCCAGCACAGCCAAAAATAAAATGAGTAAATTACAAAAATACTATGTTTCTTTATATTTCATTTTTTGGCAAACAAAACCAAAGCTCAGAAAAATAATAAGCCTCTTTTTGTGGGAAATTTTTTTAAGTCCTTATTACTAAGAAAGCCTGCATTTTCAAGGAAAGGACAGCCCACCGTCGGGTTTTGGCATAAGGAACAAACGGCCAGTTAAGCAGGGGAAACAGACTATTTTTTTCCCAGTTACAAAAGAAAGAAAGAAATCTCTGGCATGTGCTAAGATGTCCCTCTTAGGTTCATGACTCAGACTGGAAACTCACTGAAGAGTAAGAAATCATTTTTTCATTAATTTATTTATTTTAATTGGAGGATAATTACTTTACAATGTTGTGATGGGTTTTGCCATACATCAGTATGAATCAGCCATAGGCTGATGTGGTCCCTCCCTCCTAAACCCGCTTCCACCTCCCTCCCTACCCCACTCCCCCAGGTTGACACAGAGCACCAGTATTGTGTGCCCTGCATCATGGAAATAAATCATTTTTATTGGATGAATTTTTTGGATATGTTTGAACATATGTGTGTGTAAGTTGCTCAGTCGTATCCAACTCTTTGCAACTCCATAGACAGTAGCCCCACAGGCTCCTCTGTCCGAGGAGTTCTCCAGGCAAGAATACTGGAGTGGGTTGCCATGCCCTTCTCCAGGGTTTAGTGTATACACTGAGCAAATATTTTAAAATATTTATGCTACACTTGGAATGTTTGACCCAATGGATGTTTGAATTTTACTGTATGATTCCTCTAACGGTGAGGGTTTTTCCCTTCTGTTCTGGTTTATGTCCGTGTTGCACCTTCATTTTTCTTTCTGGATGGATAGGATACCAAAGGAAGGGAGGGTTAAAAAACAGACCAAGATGATGCACACATTTTCCTTAAGTAAATACAAGGTGTGGACTTTGTTGTCGTTTCTGCGAGATGATGAGCTTCTTGGCTACACAATGTTCATGTTCATATTCTCATTATATTACAGCTCTGTGGTATCATTGTGACCCAGGGATTTGCCCTTTATGGATATAGATACTCTCTCTTAATCAGACAACGGAGGTGAATAAATATGTACAAGTTACTATAATGCTGGAAATCTAGTCTGGCAGCCCATCTCATGTTTGGACTGGTTTTAGTTGGTCTTCATTTGGGGATAAATAGACCGAGCCAGGACACAAGCATAAACATTAACCCTGGCACTGCAACTTTGCTGGCTGGTACCATGCTAGAATTTATGATCTCTCTTCCTAGAATTAAGACTCCAGGAGTGATTTAAACCAAATTAATCACACTGGCCATATTGGTTCAGTTCAGCTCCGGGATGTCTTAATTTGGTCAGAGATACATTCTCCAACAATTAAAATAAACAGAAGAATATTTATTAGTCTCTCACTGACAGGCAAAACTAGTAAGTATAACATAATTTAATCATTGAATTATTTAGAGTTTTCATCAACTCTTCAATATTTAAAATGTCGTGTAGCAAGGATGCTAGAGCCTTTTCAAAATATATATGAAATATACATTTGTAAATAAAATGGCTATTTTAAAAATTATTAACCAACTTTTCATTAAATATAATATTTTAAATTACTTCATCTGAAAGTAAAGCTTGTCCACAAATGTCAATATTTCTGTACATAAATAATTCTTGTTTATATTCCTTGTAACATTCAGCACAGAGATTGGCCAATATTTATATATGGAAAGAAGACCATAGGGATCTTGGATTAAAACTAATGTAGATTTTAGATTCTATATCTGTCAACTATTGCCACAATAGTACTGTGTAACAAAGCACCCCAAACTCAGTGGCTTAAAGCAACAATCATTTATTCCTGCTCACCAGTGAGTTCTTTTCTGAGCTCTTCTCAGTATTATAGGACCTTATCAAATATATCTGGTTACTATCAGCACATTTTCAACTTTCTGACTGGAAATCTTTTCCAATGCTACGAGCTCAATAGGTAACTCTTTTCTTTATTTGGAGTTCTTATGGGTGACAGTTCTAGCAAATGTTTTGACATCAAATGTTTTGATGTTTTACAGACTCTTGTCAAAGTTTCTTTGCTCTCTGCCACTTTATTCCCCAAGTCAATGCCATAAATATATTTTTATTTATAAATATATACAAATATATAAATATAATATAAATAAACATAATAATATAGATAATATAGTAATAAAATATATTAAAATATTAAATATATTAATAAAATATTTTAATATATTAATAAAATATATCAATAATATAATATGAATATTTCAATTATCTATTATGGCAGCATCCCACTTCCAGGTACAAATTTCTGCATTAGCCAGTATTGCCACAGTAATACCACTGAGTAAGTCACTCCGCAAAATTCAGGGGCTTGAAATATGATGTCTTCTCTTTTGTGTGTTTGTAGGTCCGCTAGGGCTTGGCTGACTAGACTGGGCTCAGCCAGTCTTGTTTCCATGCTGAGGATTGAGTCCAGGTGTTTTTCAGTCTTTGCTGCAGGTTAGGCTCAGATGTGCTCCATACATGATGATTCTGGGGTCCAAGCAGCTACTGCTCTAACTCTCCAGGGTCTGTTTTTCTCATGATAACAGGCCATGCAGACAAGGCATGGCCTGATACAAGCACATTTCAGTCCTCCTGCTTATTTTCCATCAGCTCACATCTTTGACCAAAGCAAGCCACAAAGCTGAGGGTTAGGGAAGTACATACTGTCTACCCCAAGGCTGTGGCAAAGTATAGATGCATGTTATTACTATTATTGATCATTATTTTGATCAATAATTTGATTATAGGCCCCCCTGTTGAAATTTCACTGAAATAATCCCAGTTATCATTATTCTATCAAAGGTGATAGGAAGTGATCATCTATTTTTCAGTTCCACATTTGGCAATATTATATTTATAATATGTTGTGCCAATAGTAGGTAATATTAAGCCAGGTTGACAATTTTATAATCAACCTAATCATAAAGTTGAAAAGATTACTAAAACAAATGAAGCAATCATTTTTACATTTTGTACAGCTTAACAATTTTCTTAGGAATTAAAAAAGTAACAACCAAAGAAAATCTTCAGATCTGACTCTACTTCGTAATTTATTTTGAAAGATTCTTTTCTATTCAATACCACTAGGGGATATTTTTTTGGTTAATTCCTTCTCTCAAAAACACCTGGCAAGTTTATATTAGTGGTAAATTCTTGTGTGAAATCTAATTCTTTATTCTGTCATAACCTACATATGTTCTGTTGGGTCTTAAATGGTGAACTGACAGAGTAGAAAGTAACCACAGTTCCGAATCATATTCTTTAAAAAAGATTAAGATACTCAGTCTAAATTCATGCTGCAGTCATTTTCCAAGAGATCTAACTGGATGGACAAAGGCAAGACAATAGGATGCTTTGAGTAGAGTTTAATTATCGGGGTTAAAGGCAGTTTTGTTCCTAGGTGCAGATGGAGTGTGTCCAGGTTGAAACCGCCAGTCACAGAGGTGCAGTCTTTCTCCAATAACCCTGAAGCAGGAAGCCAGTTTGGCTCTGTGGCAGGAATATTTCAGATCTCATCTGCTGACACGAAAGAAGATTCTAAGAGTCTGCCATTTTGTTAAAGATTGGCTTAATCTAGTCCTGCATAATATGCTAGCAAAGTAAGGTTATACTTTATAATACTATACAAAGTATATGTATATAATATATATTACCTATATAAATATTATATACATATTTATATATGTATACTATATATACATATAATGCTATATAAAACTAGTCCTGTATAATACACTAGCAAATAGTGCTGAAAATTCTCCAAGCTAGGTTTCAACAGTATGTGAACCAAGAACTTCCAGATATTCAAGCTGGATTTAGAAAAGGCAGAGGAACCAGAGATCAAATTGCCAACATCTATTCGATCATATAAAAGGCAGGAGAATTCCAGAAACACATCTACTTCTGCTTCATTGACTACACTAAAGCCTTTGACTTTGTGGATCACAACAAACTGGAAAATTCTTAAAGAGATGGGAATGCCAGACCACCTTACCTGCCTTCTGAGAAAGCTGTATGCAGGTCAAGAAGCAACAACTAGAACCAGACATGGAACAACAGACTGGTTCCAAATTGGGAAAGGAGTATGTCAAGGCTATATATTGCCACACTGCTTATTTAACTTATATGCAGAATACATCATGCCAAATGCTGGACTGGATGAAGCACAAGCTGGAATCAAGATTGCCAGGAGAAATATCAATAGTTTCAGGTATGCAGATGATACCACCCTCATGGCAGAAAGTGAACAGGAACTGAAGAGCCTCTGATGAAGGTGAAAGAGGAGAGTGAAAAAGCTGGCTTAAAACTCAACATCCCAAAACTGAAAACCATGGCATATGGTCCCATCACTTCATGGCAAACAGATGGAGAAACAATGGAAACAGTGGCAGACTATTTCCTTGGGTTCCAAAATCACTGCAGATGGTGACTGCAGTCATGAAATTAAGACGCTTACTCCTTGGAAGAAAAGTTATGACCAACCTAGACAGCATAAAAGCAGAGGCATTACTTTGCCAACAAAGTTCCATCTAATCAAAGATATGGCTTTTCCAGTAGTCATGTGTGGATGTGAGAGTTGGACCATAAAGAAGGGTGAGCACCAGAAAGATGCTTTTGTACTGTGGTGTTTGAGAAGACTCTTGAGAGTCCCTTGGATTGCAAGGAGATCCAACCAATCCATCCTAAGGGAAATCAGTCCTGAATATTCATTGGAAGGACTGATGCTGAAGCTGAAACTCCAATACTTTGGCCACCTGATGCGAAGACTCACTGGAAAAGCCCCTGATACTGGGAAAGACTGAAATCAGGAGGAGAAGGGGGCGACAGAGGATGAGATGGTTGGATGGTATCACCGACTGGATGGACATGAGTCTGAGCAAGTTCTGGGAGTTGGTGATGGACAGGGAAATCTGGCGTGCTACACCCATGGGGTCGCAGAGTGGGACACAACTGAGCAACTGAACTGAAGTGAACTGAGTCCTATATAATAAACAATTGGCTGGCCTTTCCCCCTGGTTCCTGAGAGGTATCCTGGAATTTCCAGAGTGATAAGAGTATTTTGCTATTTACAGTGCCTAAATAGTTTGTGGTAATGAGACTGACCACACCAGAAATACCAACCATGTCATTAGAGAGCTGGGGCTTTAAGCCATGTAACAGCGACTGGGCCTCCAGAGGGAAGAGCGTGTAGTTCAATCATGTAGCCTCTGACTCAGTCAGTCTGGCTCATGTGACGACGTCCCAGGAGAACTTCGTACATCAAAGCTTTAGGAACTATCTCGTTGGCAGTATTGTGTGCATGTTGCTACACATTGATGTTCTGGGACCGTGATGCATTCTGACTGCACTTGGAGATGACGCTGGAAGCTGCTTGTTTGGAACTCCCTCAGACCTCACCCTATGTACCTCTTCTTTTGTCTGGTTCTCATTCACATCCTTTCTTTCTTTCTTTTTTTTTTTGCTCCAATAAAAGTCTTCTCATAAGTAAAATATTTTCCTGAGTTCTATGAGTTTTTCTGGACAGTTGTCAAAACAGAGGTGTACTGGGAACCCCAAGTTTGTGATCACTTGGTCAGACGTGAGGGTAGCCCTGGAAACCGAAGATAAGTGGTCTTACTCCAGAAAGTAGGATCCATATTGCAGATGGTGGATGAGTAGTGGTCAAAGCAGACCCCGAAACTGTAGTAGCTGCCCCTGTAATGAGAACAGGATAAGACAGCCAACACATACTAGGATCTGTGTTCCTTGAAAGGTCAAGAAATCATGAGGTAACAGGACTTTTACCCTAGTTCTAATCACATATTATTTGTATGTATATATGTAGTCTAGACCTTCTATTAAATCATGTTCAAAGCACAAGAATTAAATAATTATGCTAATAATAAATACATAATATTACAGGTATATGCTATGTCACTTTATTCTTATCCAACTCTTTTGCAACTGCATGGACTGTAGCCCACCAGGACCCTCTGTCCATGGGATTCCCCAGGCAAGAACACTGGAGTGGGTTGCCATTTCCCCCTCTAGGGGATCTTCCCAAACCAGGGATTGAACCCACCTCTCATGATGTCGGCTGTACTGGCAAGCAAGTTCTTTACCATTAGCACTACCTAGGAAGCCCTATTACAGGTATAATCATTATTTTAACTCATATCTTTAAAGTACTTGAAGAAGAAAATCTCTCTACCAGTTGTACACTATGAGGGTCGTGACATCATTTATCTGTTTTTCCTTCATCCATTTCCATTGTTCTGTGCTCTGTTCCATGTCATGGGGGCTTGAAGCCTGGAAACTACATTTCCCAGCCACCCCCACTGTCTTTCTAGCTGGCTTCCTGTTCCTGCAATGAGAGGTCTTGGAAAGTTATAAAGTCTAAGGACACAAGATATATTTCTTTTGCTTTTCTCTTGTAGGCTACGCCTTGGGCACTCCCAGGAGTATGGACTCTAGGTTTCTGTTGTGGAGGTAATCAAGGCAGGAAGCATTTAAGATGTCCCTAGAGCATAGTGCCATTCAACACTGGATCCAGCAGCTAAGCTGCAAGCTTTGGGATCTTGCAATATCAATTGCAATATAAGCACCTGGTTTCCTTCAGCTGGTTCCAGTGGCTGTAGTTACAGCTCCTCAACTGCACAGTGATCATGAATCAGGGTGATTTTCCTTCCTCCATTCTAAAAGTGATAGCAGCTTTATACAGTTACTAATATCTAGGTTACTTCACCTACTTCCTTTTGCTGCTTCAGCCATTCTGTCATTTTTGTGTCTAATTACTTGTATTTCTTTTGTGTCTGATTGCTTGTTTGAAATATCAATATTTTCCTTAAAAGACACAGACTAATACAGAGGGCAAGTAATATATTCTTGAAAAAACATTTTCAAATGGAATTTTTACATATCAAAATATATTTTATGTAAATAAAAAACCTTCATTATAGCAATAAAAAATAGTGAACTCTTCTGAAATTGATATACCTATTTCTGATCCAAGTACCCATTAAGTACTTTATCTGCTATGTAATATTTTGGGCTTCCCTGGTGGTTCAGACTGTAAAGAATCTGCCTGCAATGCAGGAGACCAGGGTTTGATCCCTGGGTCAGGAAGATTCCCTGGAGAAGGGAATGAAAACCCACTCCAGTATTCTTGCCTGGAGAATCCCATGGATAGAGGAGCCTGTTGGGCTATAGTCCATGGGGTAGCAAAGAGTCAGTCAGGACTGAGCAACTTTCATATAATATTTTATGTACTGCTTTTTTTTTCTTTTAAAAGCACATGATACTGTGATGTAGAAGAAATATATTTTTTTTGTTCAGATAACCAAAATACATTTCTCCTGTATATTTGGACTTCATCCATGGTTCCTGACCCTAAGTTCCAAAATCTTTGGAATTTCCTAAGGGTTGAGAGTGATCAACATACGTCTTTTGTTATGTTAATAAGGCAACTTCAGACTCTACCTAGGGATGAGGGCTGGTTGCCACAAGATTAGAGGATTGAAACTTTCAGTCTCACCCCACACTCCTGAAAAGAGAAAAGGAACTGGAGGTTGAATCCGTTGCCAAAGACCATTTAATCAGTTATGCCTATATAATAAGACCTTCATGAAAACCCAAAAGGACTGGATTCAGAGAACTTCTGGGTAGGTGAACACGAGGAGATTTGGGGAGAGTGATCTGCCTTTCGAGGGCATAGAAGTTATGCATCACTCCTTCCCACTTACCTACCACATGTGTCTCTTCCATCTGGCTGCATGTGTGTTGCTCAGTCAATTCTGACTCTTTGCAACCCCATGGACTGTAGCCCACCAGGCTTCTCTGTCCGTGGGATTTTCCAAGCAAGAATACTGCAGTGGGTTGCCATTTTCTACTCCAGGGGAATCTTCCCGACCCAGGAATAGCACCCGCATCTATTGTGTCTCCTGCGTTGGCAGGTGGATTCTTTACCACTGTGCCACTTGAGAATTCCTGGCTGCTCCTAAGTATTATCTTTTTTATAATAAACTGGTAATCTAGCAAGTAAATTGTTTCTCTGAATTCTGTGAGCTGCTCTAGCAAGTTAATCAAATCAGAAAAGGGGATCAAGGGAACCTCTGATTTAGAGACAGTCAGTTGGTGGCTTAAATGGTAAGAAGAAGCTGCCTGCAATGTAGCAGACCTGGGTTCGATCTCTGGGTTGGGAAGATCCCCTGGAGGAGGGCATGACAACTCACTCCTGTAGTCTTGCCTGGAGAATCCCATGAACAGAGGAGCCTGGTGGTCTACAGTCCACAGGGTCACAAAGAGTCAGATGTGACTAAAGCAACTTCACATGCACATACACCGTTAAAAGTATAGGTATCAACCTGGGCTTTCCACTGGCACCTGAAATCCAAGGTGGGGTAGTTGGAACCTGCAATCTGTAGCTGGTTGATCAGAAAGACAGCACCTGGGCTTGAAGCTGGCCTTTGAAGTATGTACGGGGACAGGGGATAGTCTTATAGGACTGAGCCCTTAACCTCTGGAATCTGATGCTAGCTATGGGTAAATAGTGTCAGAACTGAGCTGAATTCTTGGACATTCTGTCTGAGAATTGCTTGCTGGTGTGGGGCAACTCCCCCTTCCCAAACACACAATGAAATTGGTTTCAGAAAACAAAAGGAAAGCTGACTGTGTTTAAATTTTATTCCCAATTTATTCTGCTCTCATATAATTTGCAAATCATTTTTCTAATTTTAGATCAAAGTTTATTGTGGTAATGTAAACATGCTATTGTCAAAGTTAATAACTATCACAATCAGGCTTGGTGACAATGGGTATAGGCTTATTTTATCTTCTTAATATTAAAGTTCCAATCTCTACCATAGAGCTGAGTAGACCTTAAAATAAAAAGGCTAAAATTCAATTATTCAAAACAATGATATACTAATGGAAAAAATGACATGGGACTTTAATTATACAGGTAATTATTTAGCTTTTATGTTTTCCGTTCTTTTTGCAGATGAGTCTAAACTGGTGGCAGTGAAATCTGAATATTTCCATGGGTTTTTGTACTGGACATCTTCAAGGATAAATTTAAAATAAAAAGCATAAAGCCCTAACCGCATACAAGTAATTGACAGTTATTTTAAGCAAATAAAACATATTCCAGGTGATTGTTATAAAACACTAGCTGTCATACATGTCTGCAACTGGTAGAAAGGAAAAGCTCGAATCATGTTTTGATAGCTAGCTCAGGCTGCTATAACATACTATAGATTATGTGGCTTATGGTTGACTTGGTGAACTTTCTTCCTGGCTTTCAGATAGTTGCCTTCTTGCTGTATTGTTACATGATGGAAAGAGAGAACTCTGGTTTCTTCTTCTTCTTATAGGACACTAATTCCGTCAAGGAATCTCCAGTTAAAATATTTAGACTATTTTGAAATTTCGGGAAGAAAGGTCAAATATAAATTACCATGCCACTCTATTATCATCTTTAGAAATGTGATTTTTATTTTTAAAAAGAAAAATATGAAAAAAGATGCTTGAATAGTTAACTACAACCATAAATATATTTATACCTTTAACCTAACAACCCTGTGTGCGGTGTGCATGCTAAGTCACTTCAGTCATGTCAACAACTCTACTTCAAGTAATGTAGATGAAGAAAAAAATTAAATAGAAATAGATTTTCTGTTTATGATGAGCTTCCTTTGATTGTCTTCCCTAGAAGAAGAAATTAGAAAAATATCTAAATGTTTAAGATGGGATATGATTTGGTAAATTAAGCACATAACAGAATGATGACTGTGTAATTATAATGATTTTATAAAAACACAGAAAAATGGATTTGAGTAATGTGAAATAGCAAAGCAGAATGTATATGTTTTGCAAAAAGAGCAGCTATGAAACAGACACGAATTTTGTCAGTTAATATGCAAGATGAAAAGATAATCAAGTCAGTTTGGGTTTAAAATATTCATTTTTGTTCATACTTCATTTTAATTTAAAATAAAATGTTTCCTTCATGTTAAAATTCTCCATTTGGAAAGTCATCAAAATTCTGAGTAAGGTATGGGAAAACCAGACAGGACTTTAAAATTTATTATTAGAGTTAGAAGTCCTTAGAACCAAAAGATCTTTTAAAAGGACTAAACTTAAATAGCAAAATTTAAGGAGGAAATTTTGGGATTAAGGTCAATAAAAAGCACCCTTTCTTTTCATCTCATGTTTAGAACCATTTGAGAATAAAGACATAGTTAGATAGAATGAAGATAAAATTATCAGTTTAGTTACTGAGAAACTGACTGGAGTGTGTAGCTTTAGATTTTGGTTAGAAAGGCTTCCTGCCTCTTCTTCCAAGCATTGTAGATTCATTGGTAGAGAAATGCTGAGCTAGATCACTGAAGGAGGAGAGTCAGGAGATGCTCTTACCAAGACTATAGTTTACATCTATTTGAAAATGGACACTGAAAGGCAAAAAGAAGAAATTCCCAGGACTTGAAGCCTGTTTCCTGGGTCTCCTCCCTGCGCTGTGAAACAGTGACCATCAGTTATCACCCAAATGCTGGTCACTCTTTCCTTCTGGTACACTTCAGTTCCTGGGGACCATCAGATGAAAAACAAGTATTCTACAAAGTTTTATTTTTATTGTAAAGCTAGGAATGGACTCATGAAGGAAAAGAATGCCAAAACAGATTTTTCTCTGAAGCTTTATTTTACACAATATTTTCAATGAAAGAAAGATATCTTTAAAATATTTGGATTTGTGCAGGGTTGGACTAGAATGAAGTGAGTAAGGCATTTGCCTTTGAAGTGAAATTTAAGAGACTGCCAAAAGAAAAACTCTAGTCATCAGCATAAATAATATTCTCATGCAGTATTTTCAAAAATCACAATTAGTGCAAAAAAAAATCCATGAGGAATAAAATATCAAAATGTTAAGAAAAGACAGAAGCTATATCACTGCTTTTTCCTTTTGCCTCAGGCTTCAATATGGCTTGGCATGTCACTGATTTGTTGACTAAAATTAATATGTTTTTTAAAAGTATTTTTCAAGCTCTTTTTTATGTAAGGGATTCAATCTAGAGTTAAAATCTGAGAAGACAAAAAAAAGGGAGGGGGTAAAATTTCTCAATGTCCAAGATTGCTCACAAAAATATCTACTTGGTTAGTCATTTAGAAACAGTTGAAAGCCAAAGGCTCTTACAAATCCAAAGTGAAGAAATATTTTTAGGCTCAGAAATTTAGAACAAAGTATTTTTGGCAAGGCCAAATTCTTAACATCCTGTACAAGCAAGTGCTAAGGATATAGTGATGCAGACAAAGTACTTTTTCTTAATTTTTAAAAATACACTTTGAGTCCAGTGTTATTGTTTCATAAACAGAACTCTAGAGGATAAAGTTTAAAAGTCGTTTTCTATCAGCTTCTCTAGCAATGTGGTTAGCAAACAAGGGTCCCCCTCAGTCTCTTTCCTACTTTCTAAGATGGGAACAATTCACCAACTCTCTTTCACATGACAAAGACTCTCTCAAGGTCTTAAAGTCTAGGAAGTACTTTGAGCTATGTTTTCTTTTTTGACAGTAAACCCGTTTTACTGTTCAGTTGCTGAGTCATGTCCAACTCTGCGACCCACGGACTGCAGTATGCCAGTTACCCTGTCCTTCACTATATCCTGAAGTTTGCTCAAATTCATAAACTCCTTAGAGACAGGTCTTCCCTTCTGCTGTATTCAAGAGCCAGGCTTAGCACAAGGAATGAAAGTGAAAGTGCAGGTGTTAGTAGCTTCAGCTGTGTCCAACTCTTTTGTGACCCCATGGACTGTAACCTGCCAGGCTCCTCTGTCCATGGGATTTTCCAGTCAAGAATACTGGTGTGGGTTGCCATTTGCTTCTCCAAGGGATCTTCTCCACCCAGGGATCAAACCCTGGTCTCCTGCACTGCAGGGGCCACTAGGGAAGCCCAGGAAATGCGGTGGAATAAATAAAGATATTGGACGGCCACCATGGTTAGAAGACTAACATTTAATATTGACTTTGTCTCTTGGTCATCACATGATTTTCACTGAGATACTTAACCTCTGTGGGTCTGTTTCCTCACTGATAAAACACAGTAAGATGTAGGAATTAAATCCAGCTTTAAACAGATAAAGCTGTTGTCTGTAAGTTGTCATTTCACCTAATGCAGGGGTCGGTGAGTTTTTTCTGTAAAGGACCAGATAGTAAATATTTTAGGCTTTGCAAGCCATATGGCCTCTATCACAACTACTCAGTTATGCTGCTACAGTGCAGAAGCTGCCACAGACAATATGTAAATGAATAGGCATGGCTGGGTTCCAGTAAAATTTTACAAAAAACAGGTGGCAGGCCAGATTTGGCCCTTAGGCCATAGTTGTGCCGGTTCCTGACCTAGTGAAGCATAGTATGGGTTTAAGCACTTAGAATATCTTTCATGCTAAAGCTCACTAGACTCTAAACTCCATGAGAACAAGAGCTTCCCCTGTTTGTGTTCATCACTGACTGACTCTCCAAGAGTTTGATCAAAGTCTTCTCACTTTTTCAGGAAATATTAGCTTCTAAACTCAAAGAGCAGTACCTGGAACTTAATAACTGAATGAAAAATGAGATAGGTGGGTATCATTTCATTCTAAAAATTCTATAAGACAAAAGTATAAGACTTCATACTCCATACCTGTTCCTTCCACGCTTGTTTTTATACAATTGACAACTGGTTTGGAGTCTTATGAGGTAAGAGATAATGCTACAATGATTAAAAGGAAATGCACATAATCTGGATATTATGTTATATAGACCCAAACTCATGAAAAAGAATTAAGGCCCCTGGGAATAAACATCACATATCACTGTGATCTTGAGAGGTCTTGGCCTGCAGCAGCTTGAAGTGGGGCTTGGTTTCCCCACCAGAAATTGAGGCCAAGCCGAGGCTGTGAGAACACCGAATCCTCACTGCTAAGCCAGTGGTCAGTGACAAGGCCCTGGGTCTTTGACTTTGCAGAAAAGAATTCCCACAAAGATGGAAAGTAGTTAAACAAGTGTTTATTAGGAGGGAAAGAAGTGTGGATAGACATATCCGTGGGCTCAGAGACAGAGAGTCGCACTCTTGTGGTGTGACTTGAATCACGTCTCTGGGGCCTTTCTTCCTGGTTTCCTTTGACCAAATTGTCTAATTTTGCCTAGTGCTGAGATCCTATTTGATACATCTTAAGGTCCTTGCATGCGTGGCGCACATCTCTTAACCAAGACGGATTCTAATAGAGAGGCTTATGGGTAGTTGCACCACTTACTATGAGGTGATACGCCCCGTCTTTTGATCTCCAAAGAAGCTATCTGCACATGTGTAGTCAGAGAGCTCTCCCTAATTTCAAGAATGAGGAATATGTGGTCTCATCTGGGCAGGGCCCAGCCTTCTCCCACTCTTGTCCTGCTATTTTCCTCTTGGAGCATCCATCCACAGACAACAAACTCCACCTGTTTGCCCCAGGGGCCTATCTATCTCCTGCCTCAATTGCGATGTATTAGAAATAAAGGGATTATGAAGCAGCTCTGTGGTAGCTGGTCCCATCAGAGCAGTATTACAGGCATGGTACCATTTGGACTTGTGAAATTTGCATATAAGCATGTTGCTTAATATATAATGATAATGGACAGATGACATAAATCATGAAGCATTTCTTATTTTCCTGAATGTTTTCTGCCTTTTCATTCTTTGCAATCTTTCTTATGAATGCTTTATTCTAGAGGTGTGGTATTTCTAAAGTTTTTAAACATATGTAGGAGAGATTGTGTCTGAAAACTGGACTGAATCCAAAGGCTAATGCTGTCACCAAATAGAGATATCATTCACTGACAAGTCCGCCTTCTGTGGGTCTGTTAATCTGTAGGGAAAGGCGTGAAGCCTCCTATACTATTATGTGTGAAAGGTTTTTACAAGAATTTTATTGTTCAGTTTCTAAGTTGTGCCCCACTCTTTGTGACCCCATGGACTGCAGCACACCAGGCTTCTCTGTCCTTCACCATCTCCTGGAGTTTGCTCAAACTCATGTTCATTGAGTCGGTGATGCCATCCAACCACCTCATCCTCTGTCGTCCATAAGAATGTGTTGAAAACAATGGGAAAGAAGAGTCTAATGTGCAAATTTTCTGCCTTTCAAAGAATATTTTTTAAATTACATGTGACTCTATGCAAATATATTTTAATTTCAGAATGTTTAGAAAATACATATTTAGAAGTTTGTGATTTTAAGAAAATGATAAAAATTTTAATGTGAAAATTGAGGTAAATGTTAAGCAAACAAAATTTAAGTTCTGAGACTTCTCTGTTCACCTTCCAATGCAAGAGGTGCAGGTTTGATCCCTGGTCAGGGAACTAAGGTCCCACATTCGAGTGACATGGCCAAAAAATTAAATAAAAATTTAATTTCTATATTAGCCTCACCCACGAACAGTATAATAGAGATGATTTTTCAGTTGTATTTACTTAGACTAGATGTAATAGAATCTAGTACTTACTTACATATCCAAAAGTTACTACATGCTTTATTATATCACAGTTCTGTGTTAGGATTTTTTTTTTTAATGTGGACCATTTTCTTAAGTCTTTATTGAATTTCTTACAATATCACTTCTGTTTTATGTTTTGGTTTTTTGGCCAAGGGGCATGTGGAATCTTAGCTCCCTGACCAGGAATCGAACCTGCACCCCATGCACTGGGAGGCAAAGTCTTAATCACTGGGCCACCAGGGAAGCCCCCGAAGTTCTGCACTTGGACCTGGGAAGACAACAGAGATGTATTGGAAGGGACTGTAGCCCTGAAATAACTTACCAAGTAATCCCATGTAGTCCAGGAAATAGATTGTACAAGAGAGAACCAGGGAAGACTGTTAGTAAGAGTAGATGAGGTAAGAAAGAGACAACTCTGCTGAAAGTGGCTGGAAGGGGGATAAGGGTAAAGAGGCCCAGTTTCAAGTTTCAGGTTGAGATGTTGTTCTTGTAGAGAGATCCCATTTCATATTCTATCCTAACACATGGTCAATGGCAAAGAGCCCCAGCGGGGCACTGGCCAGAAGAGCAGGGTGATTGGAAGAACTACTGTGAGGTATTAACTGTAGAAGGAGAGTATCAACAAAAATACCAATACCCAGATTAGGAATAGAATTCAAGAGGGGTCATCTTTTCTTTCCTGGTGTTTTTTTTTTCCAACCTTTAAACATTTTATTTTGTACTGCGATATAGCCGATTAACAATGTTGTGGTAGTCTCAAGTGAACAGCAATGGGACTCAGCCGTGTATATACATGTATTTTCCTGGTGTTTCAAAAATCTGCATTATAATAAAAATCAAACGCGAAATGTTATTATCTGCAGGTGGCACCCATTTAAAATGTTGATTTGCTGGCATACATTTGGATGACACTTGGAAACAAATCTAGCACCATCCTGCTGGTGACTGTAGAATGTAGACATCAAAGAAAAGGGCAAAAGCTGGATTTCTGACTTAAGTTACCAAAGAAAATAGGAACAAAGTAGTTAACACCTAGTGTTAATGTCCATCTTAAGAGTGCCCCTAGCATTTAGTAACCAGAGTTAGGAAGTTGTAGTTAAACTTACGGGCTTCCCTGATAGCTCAGTGGTAAAGAATTTGCCTGCAAATACAGAAGATGCAGGTTTGATCCCTGATCTGGGAGGATCCCTTGGAGAAGGAAATGGCAACCCACTCCAGTATTCTTGCCTGGGAAATCCCATGGACAGAGGAGCCCATGAGGTGACAGTCCATTGCATCACAAAAGAGTCAGACAAGACTGAACAACAACAACAAATTTCAACTGATAAAGGTTTGGGCATTTCCTGAGATGCTAGTTCAAAACTTGGGAGTTTCCAGTAAGATGCTATGGGAGAAAGGCCGTTCGCGGCTACGAGAACCAATGGCGTTTCAGGTGCCGGGATTCAAAGGGCTCTGAGGCGGGGAGCTGGCCTCTCGTATGGATCCGATCCGAGGCTTTTGCGGGAAGCTGCGGTCTCTGGCCGTCACCCTGGACAGCGAGACGGCCCGGCTGCAGCGAGCGCTGGACGGAGAGGACAGCGAAGACTTTGAAGATTGTCCAATGAGAGTTCTACATGACCTTAACTCAGAAGTACGAATTCTAAAGGATGATGTCAATATTCTTCTTGATAAAGCAAACTTGGAAAGTCAAGAAAACATTGGTTTCATAAAAGCAACAAAAATATTGATGAAAAAGAATTCAATGGATATCATGAAAATAAAAGAGTTTTTCCAGAAGTATGGATATACTCCACGTGCCAAGAAAAATTCAGTGGATGAGCAAGAAGTCACTGACTCTAAACCAGAGTCCAGTGAATGTGAACGTCCTGCGAAGCCTGACGTGAAAGATGATTTGTTGGATTCTGCTGCTGCAAGCACTTCTGTTTCTGAGAAGTCACCGCATAGTCCACAACTTTCTGATTTTGGACTTGAGCGGTACATCGTATCCCAAGTTCTACCAAACCCTCCCCAAGCAGTAAACAACCAGAAAGAAGAGCCAAAAGTTTTAACTCCATTTTCCAAATACTCACTAGTAAAAACTCCAAAATGTGCACTAAAGATGGATGATTTTGAGTGTGTAACTCCTGAATTAGAACACTTTGGTATCTCTTTGAATATACTATGTGTTTAAATGACGATTACACAATTGGGCTTAAAAATGTGAAAACTAACAGTGAGACCACAGAAACAGAACCAGTGCCCAGTGATAATGTCTTTGCCACTCCTGGCCTCATAACCCAGCCGTTGGGAAAAAATGATGCTGAGCACACACATTCTCCCTTGGCACCTGCATTCTGCACTCCTGGTTTGAAAGTCCCTTCTACAAAGAGCAGCACAGCTATGGTATCCACAAACAGTTCATCGAAGGACTTAGAAACGAAAGAAAGTACATCGTTAGTTTCAAATTCAGACCAGTGCTTTGAGAATTTTGCAGATCCCTCTTCTCCTACAATTTCTTCTTACGAGAATCTGCTCAAAACACCTACACCTCCAGAAGTTACTACGATTCCAGAAGCTATTCGTCAGATTTGATCAAAATACAACTCAAACCTAGCATCTCCAGTAGCAGTTAGAGCGGTGCCACCCAGCAAAATGTTCCTGCCTCATCGTGGACAGAATGTGCAAGATGCCAGCAACAAAGAAAACTGGTGAAGGTGAGTATGTTCCCGTGTTATCTGAGGAGAACATTGAAAAGTTCACATTGGGATGGTGAGTAAACATCTGGAGTTGACACTTGCGGCTTAGGACACAACCTCGAGCTCGTGATCCCTATGGCTCCACTCCCACACTAGCCCCCTGGACAATGTCGCTGGGAGTTCATTCCCAATTGTATTCTGAGTGTGAAAACAGAGGTCTTCAGTGTCGTGTCATTTGCCTTGTTGAAGGCTACTGGTTATATCCAACTGATATTTTTTATTGTATCTTCCTACAGAAATGATAGTGGATCTGTCCTTCCATTATGGAAACTGAACAGAATGAGATTAATGCAAATCTGGTCTCACTTTGTTTTCAATATCCCTACGTCATCCCTACGTCATCCCCCTTTTGAAAAACCAATTCATGTTAAAGATGAGTGTGGAGACTAATAGCATAATGTGCTTTTTATTACATTTGATTTAATCTAACCTGTGCAGTTCAGCTGCTCAGTTTTGAAAGATCATTACTATTTCAAGTTTACCCTGCCTCATGGAACTGTGTGGTTTAAATAATATTAGGAAGCAGGATAAATAATTTTTGAAATTTAAACATTACTGTTTGCCACTCAAATGAGGTCACCTTCAGTCTTCTCGGGGCTCGACAGTTGTTGATAGAGCTGGGCTTCTTCTTTGGGGTTAGCTCTGCCCACTGTCTCTCATGACTGTCCCAAGTCTTCTACACCTTTTATTTTAACAATTTTATTTCAGACACTGTGGTTTACAAAAGACAGCCTAAACTGATGTAGGAAAAAAGGAATTCATAGGCCTAGGTAGCTATACTGAAGGGGGTGTCTAACATTTGGACTTAAGACACTCACCTGCTGTCATGTCAGGATGGGTGTTTTCCTCTAAATTGTCAGTTTCATCCTCTCAAATCAGCTCTTCCCAGCACATGATTGCAACCTCCCCAGACCCCCATCTAGCTCAGCACCCAGCAGAGCCCGAGCCTCACCCTCTGGAAGCTGCTCAGCATCCTTCTGAGTGGGTGCTCCTCTCTGGACTGTCAGCTGTGCCTGTGGCCCTGTCTCTGAGAGCACCAGGCTACCCTGTCCATGGAGTTCAAGAGCATTATGAATGAAGTCAAGCTGATTCAGCAAACATCCTCTTTTATGGTTGTGCCTTGAAAGTCAAATGGGAAGACACATCACATTGTGTCTCTTCATTTCGTCAGAAAATTGTCACTGAAGAACAACTTATTCTTTGTTCTAGGAACTACTGAGTAGTTATAATTTAAATTTTGCTAAATAAAATGT